GCTCCTTGTTGTAGTACCCCCCTGGCGTTCCGTGTCAATTTTGTTGCAGTTTGGTGAGTGTATCGCTCCCGTTTACCGGTTGCAAACTTTGCTATCTAGCCGGCTTGTGCATTTGTTATGCTAACTTAGCTCTGTTTGTAGTGCCGTGAGAGCGCGCTTCGCCGCCTCCTGGCTTGGAGAGGTATTGCAGCTTTCTGCTGTGGTCTGCTCTCCTTAGTGCTTGTATTTTTTTATATTATTATATTATGATATAATATACGTGCACATAAACTTCTTTTTCATTTGTTTGTGCTACAGGGGACTTCATTCTATTTTCGGGGACGTTTTTCATTCTCCTCTAGTGTGAATCTCCTGTGTCGAAATGGCTTCGGGGGTGGATAGTGACCACATGGACTGTGTTACTGTTATGGAGACGCTGCCACCTGGTCAGGAGGTGGACTCCCCTCCCCCCCGTAAAGCGGCATGGAAGTCTGGTGGTAAACGGGCACATGACCACGTTTATGACCCCAGGGTGGATCATCTCCAGAAACAACTGGAGGCTATGCGTAAAACCATGGAAACCATGGCTGCTACACAACAGCGGCTGCTGGAGAATCAAGCCCCTCTGCGTGGGTTTTCTCATCCTGATGCCGCTTCGGGTAACTTGGGTAAGACCGGCAGCTCAGGTTGCGGCTCCTCTGCTTTGTTGGATGGTTACGAGGAGGAGCAGGTTATGTTGGATGATGTTGCTGGAGAAGGACCGTCATCTGAGATGGGTGACCTCTCTATTAAAGCCCTGTTCACACGAGCGGCCGCTGCTGCAGGTCTTCCTGCTCCTCCATCTCCACCCAAGGCTTCTGCATTAGATCGGGGTTCGGGCCGCCAGGGCTATGCCCTTTTGCCCGTCTATTTGGATTTTGTTTCCCGTCTCCAAGAGTCGTGGGCTCGGCCAAGAGAAGCTTTACTTCCCCGCTCTGCACTAAGTGTGCTTCACAGTGCTGCTGAGCATGGGTTGGATGGGACCCTACAGGTGGGACCTTCATTTGCACTCCTGTCTGGGGCATCCCCTTCGGGCCGGGTCGCCTGTCATCCCAATAAAAAGTGCAGGGCTACTGATGGCTTTGTGGTGAAAGCCTATCAGTCTACTGCCATGGCTGCTAGCCTGGCAAACACCAATGCTCTTCTTGTGTATCTGGAGGGCCTGATCCGAGATCTGGATTCTAAGAGCCCATCTGAGCTCATGCTTGAAATGACTAACATCATGGATACGGTGATTCAGGGAGCAAGTACTCAGGCCAAGGTCCTGGGTAACTCCTTGGCCCATCTCACCATGGCCAGGCACCACATTTGGTTGAGCCAGACGGCCTTGTCAGAGGCGGAACATGCTGCTTTTGGGGGCCAGCATTTCGCCTGGTCATGTGTTTGGTGCGGCTACAGAGGCAGCCTTGGATGAAGCCCAAAAGGTGCGAATGCGCAATCAGGGGCTCTTGAGGTCACGTCCTCGGATGGCCCCAGAGAGATGTATTGGCCCACAAGGACCTCAGTCAGTGGGTCAGGGTTCCTCACAAGATTCTGGAGGTGGTAGACAGGCCTTTGTCTACCACAGTCAGAATGGGCTGACAGAGGGTCCATACTCGTTCTCGGGAGCGCGGTGCACGGGGTCCGCCCAAGTCTGCCCAGCGTTCCTGACTATACACTTCGGCTGGCGTCAAGTTTTTCAAGCACCCATCTCAGTGCTTGGTGCCAGTGCACTTCATGCCCATGGGTGCTAAGAAACAAATCTCTTTCAGGAGTGCTTGCCAGCGAGATCTCGGCCTTACTTTCCAAAAAGGCTATACGTCCACTGGATCCACGAGAGGGAAATCATGGGTTCTACTCCCCGTATTTCCTTGTCCCAAAGCTCACAGGTGGTTTCCGCCCCATTCTCGACCTGAGGAGGTTAAACAAGTACCTCAAGGTTCTTTGTTCAGGATGCTCAAACTGAAAGCATTATATCAGGCCATTCGAGCAGGTGACTGGTTCACAACTGTGGACCTACGCTATGCTTATTTTCATGTGCCCATTCATCCGGGTCATCGTCGCTACCTGCGGTTTGCATTACGATGGAGTTGACACATCAATCTCCTCGAGATGGAGGCTGTTTGTTTGGCACTGAAGCACTTCCTCCCAGTGGTGAGGGGCAAGAAGGTGATGGTACGAACGGACAACACTGCAGTGGTGTCTTACATAAATCATCAGGGCGGTCTGCAGTCTCCGTCTTTGCATGCCAGAACATGCCAGCTCCTTCTGTGGGCCCAGTCAGAGGACATGTCTCTGAGAGCCTTCTACCTTCCCGGCCTCCTCAATGTTGTAGCAGATCTGCAGTCCTGAGGCGCTCCTCATCCCAGCGAGTAGCGCTTACACCCCCAGGTGGTGGATCATATATGGTGCTGCTTCTGTCAGGCCTCTGGACCTATTTGGGACAGAGGACAACACTCATTGTCCCCTGTGGTTTTCGATGAACGGCCTACCAGGACTACTGGGGGTAGATGCCCTGAGCCAGAACTGACCTCCAGGGGTGCTTTATGCTTTTCCTCCACTGCCTCTCCTTCCAGCTCTGCTTGGCAGGGTGAGGTTGTTCCAGGCACGAATTCTCTTAGTGGCACCGAACTGGCCGCAGAGACCCTGGATGTCCGAGGTGTACAAGATGTTGGCGCCTCCCAACCAGAAAGGACTTGCTGTCCCAGGGACAGGGCAAGATCTGGCACCCTCGGCCCAAAGTCCTAAATCTTCATGTATGGCCCTTGAATGGCAGCGCTGGCATGCTCTTGGGCTGAGCAGGGCTGTTGTTGACACCTTACAGGCCGCACGGGCACAGTCCACCCAACGCCTCTACGGGTGTAGGTGGAGCGTGTTTGCTGGGTGGTGCCACAGGACTGGTGTAGACCCTGTGTCCTGTGACATGACTATGGTGGTGTCCTTCCTTCAGCACCTTTTGGATCAGGGGCGCTCGGAATCCACTTTACGTGGATATCTTGCTGCCATTTCTACGGCTCATGAGCGGTGTGATGGGCTCACCCCTGGGTCGCATCCCCTTGCAACACAGTTTTTGAAAGGTGTTAGGAGGCGTTGCCCTTCCAGGCGTCATTTGCTCCCATCTTGGGATCTGCAGGTAGTCCTCGGGGCACTTTGCCTGCCTCCTTTTGAGCCTTTGTCTGACCTGGACTTGCGGGTCCTGAGTTTAAAAACGCTCTTTCTACTTGCCATATCATTGGCTAAGCGAGTGGGGGAGCATGCTGCTCTTTCCGTTGGGACAGGGTGCCTGCGTTTTGGGGACGAGAATGAGGTGGTTCATCTCCTGCCGAACCCCGCCTTCCTACCCAAGGTGTTGCCTAGGAATTATGTGGCTAAGCCTTTGGTCTTGGAGTCCTTCTATCCTCCACCACACTCTTCTGAGGATGCTGAGAGGCTGCATGCGCTGTGCCCCGTAAGGGCCCTAAAGGTTTATGTGGCTCGTACCAGCTTGCTTCGCTCTGTGGATAACCTTTTTGTGAGCTATGGCACATCCACATTGGGCAGGCCTGTTACAAAACAGCGGCTGGCCCACTGGATAGTCGATCTCATTGCGATGGCTTATAATCACGCAGGGAATCCTCTCCCACATGGAGTGGTTGCTCACTCTACATGGGGAATGGCTGCATCTTGGGCACTGTTCAGAGGTGCGCCTTTGGAGGTGTGTAGTGCTGCTGGTTGGGCATCCTCCTCTACCTTCGCCAAGTTTTACAGGCTGAATTTGCCTACTTCCACCATCCCCTCTGCTGTTTTAGGGGCTGTGATGGATGGGTGACACTTTGTGTTTGTTATTATGAGATTGCTCTATGTTTGCAATAAAGCTGCTCATGCAGTTGCACTTGTGGTTGATGTGCTTACTTATTTATCAGATGGTGTGTCCTTGTGGGTTCCACCTCACCTTCCCTGTGACTGATTTGGCATACTGTTGTCACATGGTTACAGGTTCACTGAAATGAAATAGAACGATTGTTTATGTATGTAAACACAGTTCTATGAATGAAAGTGAACCTGTAACCGTCCTGGTCACATGTCGGTGATTGGCTGGCTGGTTACACCAGAAAGAGGGTGAGTGTGTGCACGTGCGTTATTCATATAGGTGTAGCGTTCACCCACAGGTGTGTTTAATTTGGCATAATGCTCCTGACCCGAAGGTTGTAGTCACATGGTTACAGGTTCACTTTCATTCATAGAACCGTGTTTACATACGTAAACAATCGTTCTAATCGGATCTTCAGTGTGTGAATTGTAGATCTGCCAAACATAACGGAACACTACAATGACATCTTTTTTCTTTTCTTTTTTTATTAAGTTAGATAAATTATAATACACAAATAAAAGGAAAAAAAAGGAATACAATGACAGATGATGAAAAGTTCCCAGAGTTCCTATCACCTACAAAGCCCAAAGGAAGTCGTCATCTGCATGTTTCTAAATGTCTTCCAGTTTTGTGATGTAAGCGTGAGCCCATTGCACTAAAAATGCACTAAAAACATAATATTTTTAAAATCTTGCCTAGTTTATTCTCGTTTTGACATGTTGGTGTTTTATAATTTGTCTGGTTGAATGCGAGCAGCAGATATGACATGTGTAGAGGTCATTTCCTAACTGTGTTTTTGTACAAGCCACCGGACTGGCATAAAACATTTACTACTGGTACTGCACCGAACAGAGTCCCAATTAGAAAAACATGAAAACCTGTAATATGCGCTTGAAGGTAACTGCTGTCATTCTAAAACTAAAGTGTCAAAGCGACAGAGAGAGACCAGCAGGTGATTAACCAGAAAAGCCACTTAATGAAGCTTTATATGTTTTATATGACACAAAATGGATTAATGCCTAAATCAAAGAGCCTAAATTTGGAGGGTTTGTGTTTTAAACGTGTGAATGAAACAAAACACAACTCCAGGTCTTTGTGATTAGGAAAATTGTGTAATTAAAAGACGGAGAAAAAAAAAACTTGTACGTTAGAATGATTTTTTATAAAACACTTTATTCATCTACACATTTACAATCTCTCATGAATCACTGCATTTCAGTAGAAGAGATGATTTGACACCAGTGGTCAGAAGAACAGTTTTTAATGGGAATGATCCAGAAGATCACTTTATCAGGGCTGTACCATTGGACTGAATATTGAAATTATAATGATTTTTTTTTTTTTTTTTTTACAATGAGCAGCTCAATCAACACAGACAAGGACATTTATTTAAACAATGATAAACACATTAAAATCTAAGTATTTTCAGTATAGAACAAAGCTGCTGATTTCTTTAACACTCCTTTTCGCAGTTGATTGGTTCAGATCTGGGTTTGGTCCAGTATTGGTCTAAAGGGATGGTCCTGTTTTGGTCTAGTTTAGTCTCAGGGACTGAAAGCTGGTCTCTGTAGTCCAGTTTTCATCAGGTTACAGTCCTGGATCAGAAGGAAAGGTTGATGAGGGGAGCATCTTTCTCCTTTTTGTTGACTGGACTCCATTTGATCAGAGGAGAGCTCAGGTCAATCAGCTGCAAAACAAACCACACAAATATGAGGGATAAATGAATCCAGAAATATGTCAAATGACACATGAAATATGGTTCTAATTTGAATAACAGGAGCATAAACATGTGAGATCAGTGAAACATAAACTGGAACTCAACTTCTACATGAACCCCATGAACATCTAAACTCCAGGGTTAACAGCTTTTCTCCTCATTATGACCCGTGGACATACTCTGTACTGAAATGTAGCCTTTATGATTTACCACAGTCACAGTTCCAACTTTGAAGTATTTGGCTCGGTTGTGTTTAATAGAGCATACATGACCAAATCTCTTCATCAAAATCTAATCTTGTTAGATCTCAGAAGCTCAGCAGGGCCGGGCCTGGAAAGGACCTGGACAGAAACTGCAGGGGCTGGAAAAATCAGGTGCCACAGGGGGACGCCAGTGGCAAAACTTACTGCATCCTAAGGCAAGACACTTCACCCACATTGCCTAGTATGAAAGTGGTGTGTGAGTGGGCAGAGGGGCCGGTGGCACAGATAGGCAGCCTCGCTTCTGTCAGTCTGCCCCAGGGCAGCTGTGGCTACAATAGTAGCTTACGACCACAGGCTGTGGCTTGAATGAATAATGCACAATTGTAGAGTGACTGAGTATCTGAAAAAGTGCTAGAAAATAATAATTCTGCATTAGTGTTAAGATGTACAGTCCCTGACAAAAGTCTTGTCGCTTATCCATTTTGTAGAAACAAAAGCTTATAACCTGACTTTAAATTAATCGATTGGTTTTAGAAATGTCTCATATGAAAGCTAAAACCCTCCCAAATTATGCTCAATATACTAAAATAAATTTGCTTCACTGAGGAAAGATTGATCATTTAATGAACACAGAAAGGTCAGATTTTGCCAAGACAAAAGTTTTGTCGCCTACAGAAAATTTAACAAATAATTTTCTTCAAATACAAAAATATGTTGCATAACATCAGTGAATTATGTAGTGGTGCTGTGAGATCCATATTTAATATTTTGTATGACTTCCATGAGCTTGAAGGACGCATCCATGCGGTTCGACAATGATTCATACAATTTGTTGATGAAGTCATCAGGAATAGCAAAGAAAGCGTCTTCCATGCCTCCCAGAGTTCATCAAGATTCTTTGGTTTTGCCTTCCATGCTTCCTCTTTCATTCTACCCCAGACATGCTCAATGATGTTCATGTCTGGTGACTGGGCTGGCCAGTCCTGGACCACCTTGATCTTCTTCACCTTGAGAAACTTTGATGTAGAGATAGAAGTATGTGATGGAGCACCATCCTGCTGCAAAATTTGACCCCTTTTATGGTTGGGAATGTAAGAGGAGCTAATACTTCTTGATATTTTAGGTTATTGATATTTTGCCTTCCACCCAGCAAATGTCTCGCACAGCCCCATACTGGATGGAACCACAGACCAGGATTTTTCCACTACCAAACTTAACTGTTTTCTGGGTGAATCTTGGATCCATGTGGCTCCAGTAGGTCTCCTGCAATATTTGAGGCAGCTGTGATGTAATTCAACCGAGGATTCATCTGAGAAATCCACCTTCTGCCACTTTTCCAGTGTCCATCCTTTTAGCAGGCTGTGGGCCTTGGCAAATGCCACATGGTTTTTTAATTGTCTTTTGTTTAGTGCTGGTTTCTGTGCACTGATTCGACCATGGAGGCCATTTCGAGACAGAATTCTACAAACTGTTGTGGTTGACACAGGGACTTGAGGTGACCAGGCCTGGTGGAGTCTGCTGCAGTGGAAAAGGGGCTGGCCTTGGATTTTCGAATCAACAAACGGTCCTCCCGAGCAGTTGTCTTGCGGGGTCTGCCGGACCTGGGCTTGTCAAAAACATCTCCAGTCATTTCAGATCTTTTTCTTATTCTTTGTACTTGACGCTGAGACACATTGAAGGTGTCACCACCTCAGCAGTGGATCTGGTCTTCAGCCTCTTGATAATTAACGCTTTGGTCTCAGGGTGGATCTTAGGCATGTTGTCAGAGGTCAAGTTGCAGTTGATGTGAAGGTCTGGTGTGCTGGGTTCTTTTTATACACACCCACTAATTGATTGATCAGTAACTGATCACAGGTGAGGCTGTAATCTAGGATTGGGTGCATCATATGACAAGGCGACAAGACTTTTGTCTTGGCAAAATCTGACCTTTCTGTGTTCATTAAATGATCAATCTTTCCTCAGTGAAGCAAATTTATTTTAGTATATTGAGCATAATTTGGGAGGGTTTTAGCTTTCATATGAGACATTTCTAAAACCAATCGATTAATTTAAAGTCAGGTTATAAGCTTTTGTTTCTACAAAATGGATAAGCGACAAGACTTTTGTCAGGGACTGTATATTGTGCTTTCTGGACACTAGATGCTCAGCAGCTCAGTGGTGACACGATACGACTCCAGGCAGAATGGGCTGAATGAAGGGAGATATCAAATAAACATCAGGCCATTCACAAATACATTTTTTTGTCCAGAAACAAATATAACGACATTCAAAAATAAAATTCATGACTTAAAAATAAATGTCACAACATTCACAAAAGCATTTCTCCACTCTAAAGAAAATGTTACACGACTCACAAATGTCAGTGCAGTTACTTTTATTTGAAAACCAATGAACGTGCATTTACAAACCACAGCAGTATTTGATACACAAATGTGTGTGTTTTTTTTTTTTTAAACAGCCAATCGCATCAACTGAAATTTGAGTGTGTGGTTTATGGTTGACAACATTGTGCTACTATTGTGCATAGTAGTAGCAGTGTCCACAGGTTCCAGATCATTTTGAGGTTGACTGATGTCAAGGGTTATACAAAAGCAGTAACGGCTTTGAAAAGCCATGGACATACAGAACTTTGATGCAGTTAAACCAGCGAACAGGCTCGTCTGCACTGCAGCCGAAATGACAGGATCTGGATGATAATTTTCCCTTTTAAGTTCAGTCAAGTATAAAGGACTTTAAACAAGTAAGTTATACTTACAACCACCTTCCCCACCATTTCCACCAGTCAACCTAAGAATGATCTGGACCCTATGGACCTAACTACTACTACTACTACTGTGGACCTAGCATTACTATGTGCAATCTATGTTTATCAACCATAAACCATACACTCCACCTTCAGTTGATGTGACTGGCTGTTTAAAAAAACAACACATTTGTGTGTGGAATGGTGTCAGGAAGGTCTCAAAAATCCAAAAATAAATGAAGTGGATGTCACAAATATGTGCAGTGGTTTGTAAACGCAGGTTCATCAGGTTGCAAATAATATAACGCTTTCTTTTGAGTGGAGAAATGCTTTTGTAAAATGTTTTTTGTGAATGGCCTGATATTTATTTGATAATAGAGACGCTAACCTATCTCCATATGAACGAGACCAGACAGTACATAAACATGAGCACGGTGGTGTGGGCCAAACAAAATGAAACATGGTGATGCTGACGGACACTTTTACTTTTCTGTCTCAACTGGATTCAATAAAAGTTTGATTTCTCTGCTTGTTCATCTGATACTACATTTCAGATTTATGAATACGCCTGGATGTTTTGCCTTTTGTGCTGATGAATTGTGAGCATGTATATTTGATTATTTCCCTGTATTTTTGAACAAACTTTAGCACTGACTGTTTGCAGTACTGATCCTCTCACTGTGAGAAAAACTGAGGCTGTGTCTAATGTGTTCTCTGTCTGAAAATGTGAATGACATGTCTCCAAGTGCAGGAGCCTTTTAGCTACAGCTGCTCAAAGATATGCAACTTTCTTGAGCCTTTCATGGAAGCCTTTCATGCTCATGCCAAATGTAGAGGCAAAGGATCAAGTCTCACGAGATCGTTTTCCCCATGTGCACACAGTCTTGAGACTGACTGATTTTGTCCCATCCCTACAACTTAAACAGTATAAACAAAGAGGCAGAAAGACCCTGATGTTTCCCTGTGTGAGTAACCATGGTGACAGTGGTACCTCGGATGCAGAGGAGCAAGTCTTGGTCCGGATCAGGTCTGGGGTGTTGCTCAGGTCGATGAGCAGTTTCTCCTGAGGCTGAAGAGCAGGAGCCGGGAGGTCCAGAAGTAAGATCTGAAACAACAACGTGTACCGTCGGGTTACTAAAGAATCAGCAAGAAATACTTCACTACACAGAGAGCACATTAACACATTTATGATTGGGTTTTCAAAATCTGGTCTTTTGCCAATCATGTTATGGATATGGTAAATGGTCACATTTTTATATATCATACAAGAAGTAAAATGTCATTATCTAGGAAAAAAGAAAACAATTCTCAGGATCTCCAATGATAAACCCTTTGTAAAACAGATAATTGATAGGTAAATGGTTATATTTTTGAGCCATATTGCCACTGACATGTTCAGACTAATAATAACTCAAAGATTCAAAGTTTGATTTGACCAAGCACGTCCTCACCTCTTGTGTTTTGCTGGTGCTCTCTGTTTTGGCCGGTGCAGTCTCCTTCCTTGTTTCACACTGGCTCAGACAAAGTGCGTCAGGTGCTGTGGTGCTTTCTGATTGGTCGGGTTTTGTGATTGTGGGCGGGGGCTGTACAGGCTCCTCCTCCTCCAGGTTAAAAGGCTGGATCACGGGAACCTGTGCAGTCTCTGGGCATTCGGTGTGAGAGCTAAAGACAAGTACATTTGAATTTGTCGGTTTCTTCAGAGATAATATCAACCACACTTTTGCCTTAGCGCTCTATAGATTGTGACATCGCAAAGCATTATGGGTACTGTACCATTACACTTATGTTATAATGTTACCTCATCAAAAAAACACCTGGAGTTGTGTTTTGTTTCGTCCATGTTTGAGTAATCCTTTATTATTAGTCGGTCTACATCTCCAAAGCTCTAAATGCTTCGTTCCCCTTGTGATGTCATGAAGTGGTAGTCTTCATGTTAACATCTACCTTTTACTATTAGTTTAGTAGAGATTAGAAATTCCAGGGCTGAAATCACCATTTTAGTGAAGGTATGTGGAGTTTAAAAACACAGTGCACTAACATGACATCACAAGGTGGAACAGAGCGTTTTCTATTTGAGAGAAGAACTCAGCCTAAATATGCAGAGTTTGTGTGTTAAAAGTGTGTGAATGAAACAAAACACAACTCCAGGTCTGTTTGTGATGAAGAAACAACATGTTAACATAAATCAGAAAATAAAGCAATATGGGCTCTTTAGGTTTTCCTACATTTTTCAACTTTGTGCAGCTTTTCTAAACAAACCATCACTTGACTGGAGTAAACCTAATGCAGGACCTAAAAGAAATACAGATTTTGACAAAATAAAGACATACATTTCTGTCATATAAACTCAAATGTAAAGTCGATTATGGTCCTAATCATGATGCCTCTTGGCTGAGGGCTTGGGAAAAATATGGGATAGTGATTTTTTTTAGACAAACATTGCCATTACTAGTTTGAAATTTCAGTTTTAATAATAGGACTCTGTTTAAAGTTCACATTTTCAAACGCCTCCAGAAGAATAATAAGACAAGAAATTCATTCATATTGCGATTCAGGTTTGATTGATATTGCTCATGCATCCCGAATTATGTAGTATTGCATCCCGAATTATGTAGTATTGAACATTTTCCAGAACAAACATCTGCTCTCTGTCCGCAGATGGTCTCTATAGAGAAGTGGACTTCACTCTGGACACGATCCCGGTTCTTTCCGGATCTGAACCAGGTTTGAACACTCGAAGAACAGTGGGAGAGGGCCAGACTGAAGAGCACAAGACAGATGGCTCTGCTGTGGCCTGAAGAACACTAACGCAGTGCAAAAGGACGGAGACGCACTAGGATCAAGACATTATGAACCATCACAAAGTTCATAATGGACATAGCCAAAATGATAGCCACCACATTCCAAACAGGAGGTAAACATGGGCGCACTTCCAGCTCCATCAACTTTGGTTCCAATTCACTTTACATTGAAAAACTGTAGACTCATTGTGGAAAGTGTTTTTGACCATAAAGCTGCATTAAACAGAAGAACAGCCAATTACAATATATCCTTTTACCAAAATAACAGATTATCATAGTATCCACGCAGCTTCTGTTGCAGAGCAAAAAGTGTATATTTTCTGACAAATACATTTTATTACTTGTTAAAAAGGTAGCAGTGTAAGAAACTGTCATAACTGAATGCTACACATTCATTTAGACATTTTTAAAAAATATCCCTGCATGTCATTTGGCTGCTATGATTGGCTAGAACTCAGATTAAAGTCCCTCCTCTTCCCAAACGACATGTATGGGAGTGTCCTGCTCAGAAAATAATGGTCTTTTCCCACATTAAATAACTGTATTGGCCTAAAGGAGTCCACACAAAGGAGCAGACTTCAGTTTTAACTTTGTGTAAGAGGACTTTTCTCTCGGGGGAAAACATCTGGTCTGAAGACAATGTGGTTTTGCTCTGATGCCGTTTTGTGTTTTACCTGGTGGGGGTGCAATTGTGGGTGGGCGACACTCTGATTGGACGCACTTTGCTTGTGGGCGTGGTCTGGGGAAGACCCAAAAGTCTGGACCTAAAAGATTTAAGGAAAATATAATATAAATGTATGGAGAACAGGAGAATTTATCAGCACTGAGGAGGACAACAGTTTAGATTAATATAGAAGCGTATCAGTGAATGTGATGAAACACAAAAATCACTATTGTTCTGTGACTGAACTGTGTCTGAACTTTGCTCCAAACCTCATGCGTTCACTGACAGAAGACTGACTCTAGACCTCTATAAACTACCAACTACTGACAATTAGAAATGACTGCATCTCCATCAATTTAAATTAAATGAATTGCACAACTCTGAATAAAGATAAATAGATGAATTCATTTAGGTCCATAGTACAATAGAAAAATGTGAGATGGTGGCTGACCTGACAGGAGTAGGCAGAGCTGAGGGTCTACGAGCCTTGAGTTGTAGTGCACTGCCATTGCCAAGAGAGGGCGTGAGAGTGGAGAGTGCAGGCTTCTGAGGGAGACTGAGGAGAAAAAGTCAATTTGAGGACAAAAAATACACATATCTTTATTAATAAAGCATGAACAAAGACAAAAAATTATTCAGGCCTAGTAATTATTTAAAGGGCCCATATCACGCTATTGTCTGATCAATGTTCTAATGTTGTTTCCTCATGACAAACAGACCTGGAGTTGTGTTTTGTTTCATTCACACGTTAACACACAAACCTTGTACATTTAGTCTAACCTTCACTAGAATAATTTGGATAATGTCAGCCCTGGAATTGCCATCTCTACTGAACTAAAGGTAAAAGGAAGTGTATGACAGGTAGCTTCATGACATCACAAGGTGGAACAAAGCATTTTGAGCTTTGGAGATGAGGTATTCCATCAAAGTGGCTTAACAAGTCCACGTGTATTCTAAAATCCTGAGCTGAAACTAGCTCCATCTCCATCTAAAGCCTCAAGTTGTTCCAGACAGAAACAAGTGCAGTCAGAGATATCAACCTGGTCCCCATGAGGCATCGGTGGGGTCAGTTCATCACCACGGAAGCAGTTTATGAGGAGCCCAGCCCATATTACATGATGTAATGTGTGTATCTGTACAGGCCCATGAACACTTGTGTGATATTGGTCACACATGAGAATATCTGTGTTTACTAGTGTGGAACCAAAATGTCATTTTTCATGAGTTGTTTATGTTAGTTGTGTGACTGTAGATCAGTGTGTTGTGATTCACCAGAAAAACAAGAAATGGAAATTATTTTTGTTCCAATTACAATTTTAACGGCTACACTGAAAGAGAAAGGAACTGTTATAATTAGTGATTATCTTGAAAACTATTAATATTTGACTATACAAATGCATAGAATTATAAATAGATAATAATTTTTCTGAGATTTTGAGACACTCCTGTTGCTCTAGCTCCATCCTTCGCGGAGTTATGACCAAAAATGCATATTTGACCTTGGTTACCTTGACCGGTTTCAACCTGTAACATCCAGTGTAACCCGGGTGTATGTGTGTGCCAACTTGTGAGATGATTGGGTGAAAATTTTAGGCCACAGATGGTTCAGAAATTGCTGAAATTCCCTACCCTTTATAATTTACTTTAATTTAATTCATTTATTTCATTCATAAAGCATAAAAAGACATCGACAGTGTCACAACATCAGACACACAAGAAATGAATGAAAAGGAGCAGAAAGAAGAAAAAATCTAATGTTATCTGCCCCCCTTTCCTTTTTCAAGACAATACATCAACACCGATGGTTACTAAACTGGTGTGACATTTCAATTGACCTGTGTGACCTCAAATGACCTCAGATCGTCACCAAACTCTTTTTGCGGCATCGGGCACGGGGGCTTGACCCACGTACCAAATTTGGTGACAATCGGTCCATAAATGGCAAAATTATCGCAGATGGACAGACACACACACACATACAGGGTGAATAATAAAACTGAGTCTGACTAGAGCCTAACTCAGGCCTCGAGTTTAAATTTTGGATTATTAATTAGCGTCTCATTTCCTAGTGAGCCAGTGTTGGAGATGTGTGGAAACACTTTTTGAAATATTCCATCCAGTCCTTGTATTTGCAGAGGTCACTGGTGCTAGACTGGTGCATGTCAATGGCCATAGTTCTCCTGCCACTAAAAACAGTTTTACCCACTCCACAAAACGCCCGAAACATATCTATTATTACACCAGACTGTCGATGTGAATGTCAGTAGAATAATTTTAGAAGTAAAACCAACCTTGCATTTGAAGGATTTCTGTCTGAGCAGCAGCAGTGAGTTGTATTTCCTGATAGAAAGTTCGGCAGCGGCGGACTGATATCACCTAGCACCTGTCTTACCGGCAAAGTAAAATTCCACTGCTGCTGAGAAAATAATCCTTCAACATGCAGTGATTCAAGGTTAGTTTTATTTCAAATATTATTCTATCAGCACAGACATTTACATCAACAGTCTGGTGTAATAAAAGATTTGTTTTGGGTGCTTTGTGACAAGATTTTGATTTGGGACATGCAAATTTTCTGTTCATTCTGATCCGATTAGCGAGAGGAAAGACCCGACTCCCCCTCCTCTCCCGTTTGCTCCTCCTGAATCACTCTTTATAAAATATCTGTTAATTATGAATGAAGTCTGTGGTCATGCTTTATTAAGGCTAATTAAAGAAGTTATAAAATGATACCATGACAATAAAAATGTGCAAACTAAAGCTAAGACTTACCTGTCAACACTCTTCACAGAAACCAGTCTCTTGGGCTTGAGCATGTTGGTGGTGTCTGGAGATGAAGACCCTGGGAAATAATGAAGTAGAATCAACCAATTATCATCGTTTTGAAGGGTTGAAAGAACAATATTGTACATTTTTGACTGTAATTAGATTTAGCATTCAATTTCAACATTCAAACCAGTTTATAGCCCACATTTTAAACATGTCCTGTAGCATTCACATTTCAGGAAGGACTGAAACAAACATTCAAATTTCATAACATGCTTGTAGACGTCTAAGGATACAGGGTTCAAGCATTCAAGCAAGTTCACATTCTAAACACACCTTTAAGAATTGACAAAAAGACTGAAATATGAACTGACAAACTACCGTGTTTTCCGCACTATAGGGCACTCTGGATGATAAGGTGCACTGTCATAGAATGGTCTATTTTCAAACTTTTTTTCACAAATAAACCACACCGGACTTTAAAGGTTGTATGGAGGATTTTTTTTGTTTCAAATTGTCAATGATAGCATTATAGAGGTGCAGTAGCCTTGTAATTATGATGACCAAAAAAAGAGAATAAAAATTCACCAACTCTGGACGTGGTGGGGCTAAACATTTGCCAATAGATAACGACACTGCCTCGTTATCTGTTAGCTGACAGGCTGTCAAACAAACTCCCTACGTTTCTAGCGTAACTGACTTGCCTGCGCGCTGCCGGTACGTGGTTTACGTACGCCTGTCACGCAGTCCACAGACGCAAGACGCACAGACGCTGTTTACTCCACCAACGCAACAGTTTTTAGCAGCTTTTTTTTTACCTATATCTTCCTCGCAGTTAGCACAAAGTTTGTTGCAATGGCAGACAAGAATCCAGGAGCAGTTAGCCACAAAAGAAAGTCCGTTTTTGAGATTGCTGAAAGAAGAAGACAAGGGGAAAAGCAGCGAAGCCAAACTAAGGTGATTCTTGAAGATTCATTCCAGCGATGGTGCAACTGAAGCAGACGAAGGGTCTACAGACTGATGCATTGGTCGCCAAATTACTCCTGGACAGGTCACTTCTGCTTATTATGAAAACGTACTTTATTTCCAAGAGCTAGACAAACGTTTTTCGGGACACGAAAGCGATATCCTATGTCTGAAAACGTAATTTTCAAGGCAAAGAAAGAGTCCGCTTGCTGCTGCGTGTTGTAGCTAGTTCATTCGCACTGAATCTCCGCGCAACCTTCTCTGCACCCCTTTCCTGCTCCTGTCCCCGCTGCCCGATCCGCTCTTCCCCCTGCTCCTCACTTCTCCGGGCACAGAATCTCCGCGCACCGCTCCCCTCTCCTCTCCTCTCCCTGCTCCGCTCTTCTCCCTGCTCCTCACTTCTCGTCCACGCACGAAATGTCCGCGCACCCGCTCCCCCCGCTCCTCACTTCTCCGCCTTGCCTAACCAACACTGTAGTTAGTTGTTTACAAGTCATGTGCAGCGCACCGGCTGTAAACAAACCTGTTTCTGGCGTAAGGAGGAGGAGGGAGGAGGCGTTTCTACGTAGGGAGCTGTAGGGGAGGGGGGGTGGTTTCACGCATGCGCAAAATTTGAAAAAGGACAAACAGTCACTGGATTTCTCGTTCCTTGGAAAATCCTCTATACAACCTTTAAGGCGCATTAAACAAAACACAACAATTGGATGGGTCAGTGGTTTTGTTTGTTTGGCGCATTCACGGTGACTCTGGGCTTTGTTCAGTTGTGGCGTGTAGGGAGGGTGCTGTCTGGGATCGCTGGATTGTCGTCGTGTTCGCAGTGACTCAGTTGTTCAGTTGTGTCTAGAAGTGGCACATTGCACTCGCTTTTTCGATTTCGTTCCGTTCCTCGTCGGCGTGGAGTGATGAGTGTGGCTGTGGGTGTGTTTCGCTGCACGGTCACTGTCTGCTCCATGTGTGTTTGCGTGCACTGCAGGTGATGTGGCTTTGTAGTTTACTGAAGTCTTGCTGGGACACCCGAGTGGATTCGTGTATAGGGCGCTCTGGATTGCGGGGCGCGCAGTCGTTTTTTGATGGGGTTGGAGGCTTAAGAGCGCGTCCTATAGTGCGGAAAATATGGTAATACAAAACTAATAAGAATCACATTTCAGAACATGTTTGGAAAGACCCAAACTACAGGCTTGGCAGCTTTTATGCAGAAAAAGACAGGAAATGCTGCTGTCTGTGGGGAAAAGTAAATGGTACTTCACAGCCTTTGTGACTGGCTAATTCTGTCTATATTCAAATTGTGATTTTGCTTCTTAATGCCTTTTTGTTTTTGTTTTGTCATTTTATCACCTAAATAACCGTTTGGTTTGATAATTTTCTTCATGTACTTCTTGTCACCCACCTCGCAGTGTCCCGTTGGGAGTGGGGGGCACCAGAGCCTGTGGTTTGGCTTTGGCCTTGAGTCCGCTCTGGATCTTGGTCATAGAGGGCACAGAGCTGGTCCGGTCTAAGCCCCTCCTCACTGGGGTTTGGACCGGGGAGGACTGGGGCTTCTTGAGGAGGGTGGGGTTGGAGGATCGTCGGGTTTGGGTGCTCAGAGACCTCTTCCTGGCCACAGAGATGGGAGGGTCCGAGGGCAGGACGGCCACAGAGCGACGATGCTTTGGGGGCTGGGTGGGTTTAGAGACACTGCACTGAGAGCTCAGCGAGGAGTTCAGTTTACCTGGGAAAAGAAGAGTTTCACATCATTTGAAAAGGACAATTTTATTTGACTTGTACATTTATCTCTTGCTATTTTTACTACTTTATTTTGGATTTTAAGAGATGTCTAATGCATGCATGTATTTTAGGTTTTGGAAGTCTTTTTCTACTATTTCATGCCCTGTATTTTACCTTTAGTGGCTTTATTGGCCGGGGAGAGGGAGATGCTGGAGTTGAAGCTGGACACTGAGGAGGAGGACGAGGACGTGTTTCTGAGTCTGCTGCTGTCAGAGGGAAGCTTCACTCCAGAGCGAGTCCGCAGTGTCTGAAAGAAAATGGATAACCAATCAAATATTTATTCTCAACCATCTACTGATGTCTGTGGTCCATTTTGTGGAGAATAAGAGAATTTGAATAGACTTTGATACTAGGGCTGTGTATTGGCAAAAACATGATAAAATGTCCATAACTCATATCTCTAAAAATGCTTTTAATTTATGTTTTTATTGTGTCAAATAGCAAAATATATTTTGTTTATCAAAGTCTAGTTTTATTTACCTTATTTTAATGCCCTTATTTTTATTTGACCATAGCTTATATTAACTAAGGCATTGTTTTATGTTGCACCATGATGCCCAAGCATGTTTATAGTTTGTGAATTTTGTTCAGTGGTAATAAAACTAATTCTGATAAATATCAGAACATGAAGAACTTTTTTAATCAAGCAGCTTTAGCCTCAATGACAATAGTGTTAGATGAAGACTGAGTGTATAACTCAACACATTTCTGTAGTTTAATAGTGATGCAGGCCTCTGTATCAATAGCTGTCAACAAGTCCAGAAAGATGTATCGAGCACGGTCCATGGCAAAACCCTGTTTGACACTTACACATGTAAAACCTTCAGCATCAGGAGACATTTATTATAAACTGACATTTGCACATATTTGTGTAAGATTTAATATGAATAGTTGAAATGAGCACTGTACCTTGGAGGGCGGGGCCAGAGTGCGTTTGCCCAAACAGCTGGAGTTCAGGGAGGAGTCGCTGATGTCAGAGGTCACACTCGCAGAGTCAGAGAGAAGGTCCTCACATGAACCGTTTCTGCTTGAGTTCGGACTGCGCCGCCAACTGGTTGCCAACTGCATTACAACAAAAGAAGAAGGATTGCTTACTGGCAGACTGGGGAGTGTCAATTTCAAACCACTGATGTTATTTTCTAGGATATAGCAACATTGTCCTAAAACTTAATTATTTTAAAAACTGCTCTGGAAAAATGTTTGTTTTCCGGAATAAAAATGAGGTGAGAATACAAACCCCAGATCAATGTTTACATCACAGTAGCTGTACTTTCACATCATAAATCGGATGGGAAATCTGGTTATGGCTTCAAACTGATCACCAGCATCTGTCCAGTGTTGCAGCATAACCTTTCTATTAGGAAATATATCACAACTAAAAATGGTGGCCGGATGACTACCAAAATGTATTGAGAAACAAAATAAAGAACAAAATTGCTTTGAACATATTTCTCATATTGTCAGCAAGTTTTGAGATTTTTTTGAAATTGACTGGTACAACATTAATATTTCAGTGACTTATCAGCCCAAAATAAAACTGTGTTGAAATCTAAATTGTGAACTAAGCCCAATATACTCCACATTTAAAGGTGCACTTGTAACTTTTTGGTCAGGGGTCCGTCACCTGCTTGTTTCTATGGAGATGACATTAAACAGCTCTACCTTACATTTATTCAATTACAGGTGGTTTTATCGCTCTGTAACCTGTAACTTGGTCTGGTTTGGTCTCCATGAAGATAGAAAGGCTTAATGCCATACTGTGAAACATTCCAGACAATGCAATAACATCTCATCATGAATAAAAGCATTTCAGGGACCCTCCACAAAAAAAGTTACACAGAGCACCTTTAAAGTTTCACTGCTGCCTTACTTTGGTGGGAGGCTGCAGTCTGGGTTTGTCTTGGCTCTTGGTGCTGGAGCGTGTAGCAGTTGGCACGGTGGGTCTGTTGGGTAACACCGCGCTGACTCTGGCTTGGAGTCCAGCTTTGGTCTGAGTTCTCGTCACTGGACTGGCGACGCTCCTCGTGGCTCTTGAGGGTAAGTGCTGCGTCAGTTGTGCTTTTCCAGTGGGTTTAATACTTGGTATATTTCCTATACTTGATTTAGGACTGCGCGCTTTCAGCATACGGTTTTGAATTGCAGGTGGTAAGTGTTTCATAGGGCTATCTTGTACACAAAACGTCTGTCTCTTTATGGGGCTAAGTACAGTAGGAGGAGGGTCACAGAGCATGCTTAGTTTAGCCTTTGAGTCTTGCACAAACTCATTCTTCTGTAAAACTGCACGATTTGGGTCGATGTTTTCAGATTCGGACTGAGCATGCTCTGAGCTCTGCAGCTGATCGGCCAGTTTTTGGGCCTCTTCACAGATGGCTTCCAGTTGGTCTCCAGACAGAGGACTCCAGCTCGATTTTACGCAGTGGTTTTCGAGACGAGACGCAAGGTTCACAGAAATGCAGCGCTCAGCATGACTGACGGGACCAACAAAGATCTCGTCCTCAAAGTCTTCACCTGTGGAGCTGTGGAGGAAAACAGGACACTGATTATAACTGAGCTGAATGATACAGGAAATGTTTATTTTTATATTGTTAAGTTAATCTTGTAGACAAGATATCAGCAATGTCAAGTTTTTAAAAGGCCCATATAACTGTTTTCTGACTTATGTTATAATGTAGTTTCCTCATCACAAACAGACCTGGAGTTGTGTTTTGTTTCATTCACACATGTTTAACACACAAACCCTGCATATTTAGGATAAGTTCATCTCTCCAACAGAGAAAATTCTGTTCCACCTTGTGATGTCATGTGGTATGAGCACATGCGTCCCGTGCTCAGGTCTCTGCACTGGCTCTTGTGGCTTACAGACTTTCCATATATGTTCCATATAAACCATTTGCACTCTGAGGAGCTCAGGGACTGACCTCCTGCTGGTGTCCAGAATCAGGACTAAACACAAGGAGTCAGTTTCAGATTTATGCAGCTCAAACCTGGAACAGTCTGAACATGTGAGACAAACCTCTGCTCTAACTCTGTTTAAATCCAGGCTCAAAACACTTCTGTTCAGCTGCAGATGACTGAAAGGTTTTCATTTTTCATTCCACACTCTTCTCTCTAATTTAATGTCTCTCTCTCTCTCTCTTTAATTTTATGACTATTTATGTTTTGTTTATATTGTAATTTTAATATATTTCTTATTCTGTAAAGCACTTTGAATTATTTTGTGTACAAATTGTGCTATACAATAAAAATACCTTGCCTTGCCTAATACAGTTTTTAAACTCCAAGCACCTTCACTAGAATCATTTGGATAATTTCAGCCCTGGAATTGTCCATCTCTACTCAACAAAAGTTAAAAGGAGCTGTTAACTTGAAAACTATCACTATGTGACATCAGGACATCAAGGTGGAACAGAGCATTTTAAGCTTTGGAGACGTGGACAGACTAATAATAAAGAGTTACTCAAACGTGTGAATGAAACAAAACTCAACTCCAGGATCCTGCCTCCACTGGTAGGAACACAGCGCCAAAACCTGTTTAAATCAGCTGACTGGACCTGTCACAGCAACATCAGGTGACTCTGAGGAAGACCGCAGGGAGCAGAACAAACTGTCAGGGATGAAAAACAAACTCTTGGTCTGAAAAAAGAACCTAATAACATACAACTCCAGATCTGTTTTTGAGGAGGTAACATTATAACATGGCTAAAAGCTTTCAAGAGTCAATTTTGCGTGATACAGGACCCTTAAATATAAGCATTGGTAAATACTGCCATTGTGTCCTTGGGCCAGACACATCACATAACTTGCCTCTAGAATGTCTGGACAAAAATAGTGTATTAATTGATGCACTACATGCTAATGAAGCAAATATACTAAATGTCTGAAAAGGTCTACTCTACAGGATTTGTTGGTTTTATGCACAAGACGCTATTGTTCTTTGTGCCCGAACAAACTGCAGCACTTATCATAAAAAAGGATACTGCAGAATTCTCAACTTTATAAAGCATTTACAGGGTTACATTTGGAATTGATAAAGCCCAAAAGTGTGTCAGATTCAAAAACTGATCACGAACACACAGTGAAAAGTCTGGTTTTAACATTAGAATTATGTCTTTTTTTGTGTAGTTATTGTCCATTATGTCCCACTATTGTGTGCCTGATTGTGGGTATTTTGGACAGAGGAACAGTGACAATGTCTTCAACACCCCAGCACTGTCAAGGGTCTCCTCGCTGTAATATTCTGTATGTCAGTTGTGTTACCTGGCAGGCGACAGAGACAAGTCAAAATCAAACTTTTCATCCGGTAAAAAGAACACATCTGTACGAAGAAAAACACACAGATGAATGAGTGAGTTCAAGTGAAATTCATTCTAGTTTGACCTGGTTTAACACAAACCCGACTCACCGTTGTTCGCTCCATGGTCCATCCTAATTCAGACTCTTTTTTGATCCAATCCAGTGCCGTAGATGAGCTGAAGGAACAAACAACAGAAGAAATATAAAACTAGGGTGACCAGACAGGGACAGTCCCAGTTTTGAGCCCTGTGTCGCCTGTCCCAGCAGATTTATTCAAAAGCAGTGATTTGTCCCAATTGTATACAAGAAATGTTCAAGGTGTCTCTATTTTTGATCCAATTTGATCTAAACCAGGGCTAAACTAAGACTAAGCCATAACTACATCAGATCTAAACCAGAACTAAACCAGGACTAAACTAAGACTAAACCTGGACTAAACTAAAACTAAACCTGGACTAAACTAAAACTAAACCTGGACTAAACTAAAACTAAATCAGGACTAAACTAAAACTAAACCAGGACTAAACTAAAACTAAACCAGAACTACATCAGGTCTAAATATGGACTAAACTAAGACTAAACCAGAACTACATAAGGTCTAAACTAGGACTAAACTAAGACTAAACCAGAACGACATCAGGACTAAAACAGGACTAACCTAAGACTAAACCAGGACTACATCAGGTCTACACCAGGACTAAACCAAAACTACATCAGGTCTAAACCAGGACTAAACTAAAACTAAAACAGAACTACATCAGGTCTAAATATGGACTAAACTAAGACTAAACCAGAACTACATAAGGTCTAAACTAGGACTAAACTAAGACTAAACCAGAACGACATCAGGACTAAAACAGGACTAACCTAAGACTAAACCAGGACTACATCAGGTCTAAACCAGAACTTAACTAAGACTAAATCAGGATTACATCAGGACTAAAACAGGACTATCACAATTTTTAACAAAATATTTGACTAATCTGATCCCTGCCAACAGTAAAGAAGAGCATAAATTGTAATTTGTTTGACCAAAATACAGAAATCCGTGTTTGTGAATGACCATAAAGCAAAAAAAAAAAAAAAAAAAAAAAAAAAAAATGCATCGACAGAAGTTCCTCATATTATGACTGACACTATTTTATTTAAACCAACCATCCAAACCAAGGTGTGTCCCAGTTTAGAATTGTGAAAATCTGGTAAATATTGCGTTAATTACCTCGGGTCAGAGTGATTTGAGGTTCGCGTTTTGCTCTAAAGAAACTGACGGTTAGTTCACATAAAGCGTTCCTTAAACAATTAACGTTAACGATTTTCTAACGTGACAAGAGAATAAAAGCCCTTTATGATCAGAATGTTGTTTGAATGAAGAAATACGCACCTGGGAAAGTGATATTGTTGTAAAGTTTGTTATTTATTTCCTCGGACAGGCGAAAACACGGCTCTCAATTCAAATCTGCAGCATTTTACCACGTGACTCAGAGGTGCGTCCTGATTGGCTGGAGTGTTTCTTCTGCGGTGTGAGTGACAGTTGGAGCATGAGCGCCATCTTCAGCATAGACAGGGAAGGACACCGTTGCTAAATGTTATTACGTTTAACAATTTTGTGTTTTTGTTGTAAAAAAGGGACAGCATCGATCACTCTAACGTAGGTTGATCAGATTTTCCAAATAAAAAACTGGGACATCCCTGGTTTGGGTTGATTGGTAATAATAAAATTGTGAAACGAGTGCGTAATTAAGGAAAATTGTCAGTATAGTCACATTTTCTTTGTGTTTTGGTCATTTTTAAGCAGCTTTTCTGCATTTTACCTTAACAAATGACAATGTATACCTTTTTTGTGACGTTTATAATTTTACTTCCTGGTTGGACACAAGTGGAGGTATGTATTTGTATTTTTATTGTCTTTCTCCACAAACTGTCATTGTAAAACTATGATAAATATTTACCTCAGAACTAGAAAAAAATGTGAACTTGTCGTATGCGCTTTAATTTACAAGTACACATTTAGAAAGTACTTCTTGATTGACATTATAATAGTGCTCATGTTATAATTAACATGAACATTTTAATTGTTCAACTAAACTGAAGATTTACTCATACACTTTTTCTTTTTTTGTAATTCTTTATTTTTCTTTTTTTAGTTGTATGAAAAAGCTAAATGCAATACAACATGCGTGTGTGCCTTTGATGTTACCAAAGGATGAATTAATTAAAAGAAAAAAATATAATAATAATAATGAGTAATTATTACAGCCAATTGCAGGAAAAACGAAGTGACAGGTCAAACAAAATCCGGTTTTACAGTATTTATATATTCAATCCACTGTTTCCATTTGCTTCTGAATTTGTCTCGTTGCAGTTTTATGCTAAAAGTAATTCTCTGCATCTTAAAAATATCCTAAACAATCTCAAACCTTCATCCAGTGTTGGTATTTGTTGATTAAGCCATTTCCTGGTTAGGGCTTTCCCAGCAGCTGCACTCAAAATCTGGAACAGGTATTCCACTTTATACGTCACATTTTCACCCATCAGGAAGCCCACGTACATTGTTTCAAGTCGAAATGGTCAATACAGATCACAGTTTCTTTTTTTGATTTTTTTTTTTTAAATTAAAAGTAAATAATAAGTTGTCTTTGTCCTTCCCACTCCCCAACCAAACAATACATATTATACCTATATGTCATACCTAGACACACACATATATATACACATACACATATGCATACGTATCCATCTACGTACATAGATACACCCCTATACATACCATCCACATACGCGAATATATATATATATATATATATATATATATATATATATATATATATATATATATATATATATATATATATATATATATATATATATATATATATATATATATATATATATATATATATATATATATATACACACACACACACACACATACACACATATATACACATGCACATATACACGTATATATACATACATAATAACAGTTACACTCTTAATAATACAATGTTACTGTAAACAGTTAGGTGGAATGTCAAAAACTAATCAGTTGGCAGTGTTGGGAAGGTTACTTTTAAAATGTATTCCTCTACAGATTACAGATTACACACCCCAAAATGTAGTTTGTAACGTAATCCATTAAATTACTTAAAGTGAGTAACGTAATCTGATTACTTTGGATTACTTGATATTGTCATGTTTTTTTAAACGACATGAATGTAGCAACCACATCCTTAAAATTATTGTTTGTTGTCTTCAAATTGTCTGAGCCCAAGTCTCCATGAATAAGCAACTGTTTGCTGTAGAAAAACAAAGACCACGATATTTTAACATAAGAGGTTTTGTCTGTTAAAAGACAGTAACAAGATAAGCCTTTCCTTAACCATATTAAAAAATATTATTGATAGAGAAATTATTTTTTATATGACCTGGTTAGTTCTGGTTTAGTCGTGGTTTAGTCGTGGTTTAGTCCTAGTTTAGACCTGGTTCAGTCCTGCTTTAGTCCTAGTTTAGTCCTGGTTTAGTCCTGGGTTAGTCCTGGTTTAGTCCTGGGTTAGTCCTGGTTTAGTCCTGATTTTAGACCCGGTTTAGTCCTGAGTTTAGACCTGGTTTAGTCCTAGTTTAGATCTGGTTCAGTCCTGCTTTAGTATTAAATTAGTAAGTCCTGCTTTAGTATTAAACCAGGTCTAAAATCAGGACTAAACCAGGACTAACCCACGTCTAGACCAGGTCTTTAGTTCTGGTTTAGTTCTGATTTAGTCGTGGTTTAGTTCTGGTTTTAGACCTGGTTTAGTCCTGAGTTTAGATCTGGTTCAGTCCGGGTTTAGTCCTAGTTTAGTCCTGGTTTAGTCCTGGTTTAGTCCTGGTGTTAGTTCTGGTTTAGGGGCGCACAGGAGGAAGCGCGGTTTACACGAGAAAACACAATCCACACGCGGCGCACGAGACGGCGGTGTCCGCGCTGTAACTACGGAAGGAGACGTGGTCCGCGGGTTCTCAGGTTGATGACGATGATGAAGGTGTGTGTTTGTGTGTGTGTTGTGTGTGTTTGTGTGCGCGTCCACTCATGTGGCAGGTCACTATAGGACAGTAGTGCAGATACTATGAGTCTGTGCAGGCTGTTTTCACCAGTGCCAGTAGCTCCGGTTTCTGTTTGGGTTTCCGGCAATGAGTGGAATTACCGAAATAAAAAAATAAATGAATGGGATGTAGCACAAAATGTGAAAACAGAAAAATACCGCCTTGTAATCCACTTATTTCAGCAAAGTAACTGTAATCCAATTACCTCTCATTGAAACAGTAACTGTAACGGAATACAGTTACTCATAATTTGTACTCTGATTACGGTACATGTAATCTGTTACTCCCCAACACTGTCAGTTGGTCATAATACCTTTTCATATAAATACATGTATATATGTATGTATGTATAAACATACACATATATGCATGACTAAACTTTTGTCTCTCATAAGTTCTCCCTTTAATACTGACAATTTTGACATTCCAAACCGCTCCAAAGCAGCAAACATCTTACATGAGCAGGTGGTCTGTACGTGTACGTTATTCATTCAAATGAATAACATTCGATAATATTTAAATATACACATATTGAAGGAATACCAATGATAATTTACTTAGTGTGATACCTTACTGCTTAAAAAGTTTCCAGGCTTGCCAGTATAGGAAACCATAGTTCTTGAAAAATGTGTCCATAATTATTTTTTTCAAGAGTTATTTTTTCCAAAGGTAGAAATTCTGACAATTGACTCGTAAATAGCCTAAATGTAGGAGGTAAATCATCTTTCCAAAGTAGTAGTATACATTTCTTTGCAAAATATGTTATAGAACACAGTTTCTAATGATTTGTGATTTTTTCTCCAAAATGGAACAATATGAGGACATGTTCAAAATATGTGGCAGTGGTTTGCCTCCAGTGCACCACATGTCTCCAACAGTTTGACATTTTGGTGTAATGTTTTTCCTGGACTGGTGTTTTAAAAAACCTAACCAGATTCCTCCAACAAAATTCTCTCCATATTATTGAGTTAGAAGTTTTCCATTGTATCTCGCAGAAGTTTTCCCATTCCTGATCAGATCTAGTTAGATGTCTCTCCTTTTCCCACTTTTGTTTCTCATGGTGTAATATTCCTTTTGTTTGCTGCAGTCCTTTATAGAGTCTTGAAATTATCTTTTGGTTGTTATTTACAATGTATGTATCCACAAACACCTTAATCAGGAGATTACTTAAATATTTTTCTTCAGGAATCTTCAATAGTTTTCCAATGAACTCTCTAATTTGGAGGAATCTAAAAAAACATCACTGTTATTTAAACCATGCCCTGTTGTTAAAGTTTGAACATTTTAAATTTTCCTTTGTTGTGTAAAGGTACAGTGTGCAGTTAACCCCTGTGAAGCCCACTCTTTAAACCTTACATCAAATGTATTTGGTGTGAAATCTTTATCATACTCACATCGTCTCATCTACTACTACATCTTTTAAATTGTTTTGTTGTATTAATTTATTCGACAGTCCTAGAGACAAGGCCATAAATGGGTTTCTCAAGTTATTGAATTGGTCCAGTCTAACTTTTTCCCCAATAAGTTCCTGAAATGGATATTATTCACTTACTGTTGCCTCCTCAATGATTTTTCATCTACCAAAATATTCTGGATTACATAGACACACCAATGGTTTCAATTGTGCACTGTGGTATTTGATTCTTGGTCTTCTGCCCTGCCAGATGTACAGTGTTAGATTACAGTTACTTGATTGAAATAAATGGATTACACAGAGGTATTTTCCTATTTTCATATTTTGAGCTATATTCCTTTTTTTTTTCCCGGTAATTCCACTCATTGCCGGACACTAAACCAGGTCTAAACCAGGACTAAACTGAGTCTAAACCTGGTCTAAACCAAGATTAAACCAAAACTTAACCAGGTCTAAACTATGTCTCAAACAGGATTTAACAGGACTAACTCAGATCGTGTCTCCTCCTCTTCTATCAATAATATTTTTAATTTGGTTAAGTAAAGACTGGGCTTTTTATGTTCTTTTAGCAGACAAAACATCTTATGATAACATGTCTTAGTCTTTGCTTCTCTACAACAAACCAAGTAATCCAAAGTATTCAGATTATGTTACTCACATAATCATCATCATCATAACTTAATGGATTCCGTTACAGACTACATTTTGGGGTATGTAATCTGTAATCTGTAGGGGAATACATTTTAAAAATAACCCTCCCAACACTGCAGATGTATCTTGAGATAAGTCTGTCCCACTCCTGGAACTGTTGATCTGGTAATTCTATGGGAAGGGATTGAAACAGGTAGAGAAGTCGGGGTAGAATATTCCTTTGAACTGAGTGGATTCCTGATCCAAAACTGAGGAGGGGTATAGCACTCCACCTCTGTACATCATCTTTAATTGCCTGATTTAATGGCTGGAAATGATCAGAATACAAGTTTGACAAATCTTTGGAAATTTTAACTTCCAGGTATTTAATTTTGACTGCTCCCCAGTTCAGTGGGTATTGCCCAGACATACATTTAGAAAGTCTATACTGGCTTAGACCACTGCCATGTCACACTGCCTCGCTTTCTTGTCACACTTTTTCTTCATGTTTTATTACGAAGAATTCAAGACTTTTTGTGTGTACAGGCTTTTCGGGGTTGTAAATATTTTGGCCCCGTACATTTACAATCTCCTCTTATGTCTCATGATGCTATTGTTGATATGTATGAGCTTAAATTATTCAGTTCAGTAGTTGGGTTTCAAATGATGTCACAACATTGTATAGGCCATCTCTGTTTCAAAGAGAAAATGAATATTGTTCAAATGCACATGTCTGTGGTTATACAGCGAGTTGGAGGGTCAGCATTAGTGAAATGACCTTTGGATATTTCATGGCAAAGTATAATGTAATCCACAGAAAAAGCTGAGAGTATGACATCCTCACATTCTAGAATCTAACTCCACATTTCACACAGTTTCCACCAAACAAGACGACACTTGTATTTTAATAAAAACCTTTATTTTCAGCTAAAATACACAAAACATAGGACGGATATGAACAAATATTAATGAAGACAAACACCTCAGAACAAACTCTTTTTTTACATTTTAGATTTTTTTCAACAAGCTTAAAAAACCCCAACACACATTTAAATACATTTTCCACTAAATTCATCTAATAATTTTAAAGCTAGCAACAACTGGTTGAACTGGAACGTAAAGCAACGCCATGCAACTTTTCGGTGGCGGCTTGTCACCTGTATGACACCATGGAAAATCAGAAGTTCAAACTCTACTTAGGAATATTCACAATGGAGATTGATACATTTAATATCATACAGTGGAATTTTATCTAAAACAATACAGTTTCCATGGTGACAAGCAGGTGGAAGCCTTCCTCCAGGCCATGTTTGAGCCAGGCATTTATTATTATTTTTATTTTTATTTATTTGGCTAAAAAAAAGTTACACGGTGGCTTTAAAGCTAAATATTAGTTGAAGTTTGAGCATGATAATCTAGGTCAAATAACTAAATGAATATGAACTGATCCAAAGCCTTAAACTCTGGTGTGACTGAGTCCACAGTGAAGAGACTGTGTAGCAGAGTGTGGATGTGAGTTAGAGCGACGTCTCCAGGCTGTGCAGGGGGCTTCCAGGGCAGCGCTGCAGTGTGGAGTTCCTGGACTCCGACAGGAGCTGTGGCCCAGTGATGCGTTCAGGACCCGTGTTGTTGTTAATGTTGGAATTCTGCGATGTGTTGGACAGGTTCAGCACGTGTGGCAGGTGCACAGAGTTGCGGTTGGTGGGTGGCTCGTCCTCGTCCACCTCGTCGATCAGGGGGATGTGCGTCTCGGAGTCGTCGATCCTGAACTCGGGGTGAGTCATGAAGTTGTGGATGGAACTTCGTGATTCAGGCGTCTCCAGTCCCTCGTATGGAGACACACTGTCTCTGAAGGCATTCACCACACGGATCTGAGGACACAGACACACGGGACGTGAGAACAAGTCACAAACAAATCTCTAGTATGTGCTCGTCATACAGTATGTGCTGCTTGTTCATTATAGGTGCTTATCAGTGCTCGAGCTGCTATGATCTCTGAAGTGAACCTGTGTGTCAGTGGATCTGACTGCTCAGCCAATGATGGTATGTGCCACTCACAACCTCATTTCCATCTCCTCCGTAGACTGTATATATATAAATGGACATAGCTAACATGGCTAACACTCTATAGTCACCGGTGTTCCAAACATAGACCGTGTATATGAGTGGACATAGCTAGTGCACTAGCTGCCATGTGCCAAGTAAGAAATTCACCAGGAGGCTCTTCCGGCTCCTTCTGACCCTGGCTCCAAGTGACTTCCATTGGAATATAATCGCCCCTCTTCCTGTGACTGCCGCTGTGAGCCTCATCATTTTGGTCTTAAAGTGTTCTTATTAATCCGCTCTACATGATCCTGAAATTTTTTTTTGCTATTTTGTCCATTAAAAAAATCGTATTCATAACATAGAGCCTGGCTCCAGATTCACTCCTGTAACTGTGAGCATCAGTCATTTGAGTGGCGCTGAACACTGTGGGTGACATCACACTTTGTCCACTTCCTTCCTTTCTGGTCTCCTCCACTGCAGCTGTGCCTATAATATCAGCTTACTCCCAAAGTGCCAAGTGAATGAATAATGCACAGAACTGTAACGCAAGAGAGATTGCAAAAGGACTATATAAGACAATTCTCTGCATTTGTCCCATTTAAATCTGGTCGACCTGTCAGGAGCAGTGAGCAACCTCACAAAACCAAAGTGCAGTCAGGTTGTTGGTTAGGAGTACCCAGCTGGAGGATTAGCCTTCTGGTCATTTTTTAGACCTTTTAGACCATTTGACTCTTAGAGAATAAGCAACCCTCTGATCTTCAGAAAAGAGAGGTCAGGATCAAGAGTACCTCACTTGCTCCTCAGTGTATAACATATTTGTGTTGTCATAGTGACCTGTGTCTGTATGCGGCTGAATCCTCGGCACCACAGCACGCGGCTCTTCTTCAGCTCCATCTCTGCGTGGTCGATCTCAAAGTCGTCCTTCTGAGGCTCCAGCTCCTCCTCCGGAATCTCGTCTCTCTGCGTGTTGTGTCCAGCCGGCTTCAGGCACGTCAGCATCCGTGTCGGGACACTCGTCACCACCTGGATGTGCCATAAAGCAACAACAGACAGAACCAGAGCAGCGAGATGAGGATTTGAACGGGAAAAAATATGTGAAGATAAGGTTTGGGTCATGAAGAATTAAGAGTTTGTCATCATTTCAGATGGAGAATAGGGGCCTCTACTAACACCAGATAGGCCTAAAATCATGATAACACATTTCAAAGTGTATATATTGCTGAAGAAAATATAGGAGACAAATGATAATACCGATGAACTCACTTATGCCACTGACACAATAATCCTAGAGCAGAATTATCCCCCCAAACTATTCTGAATAGAGGAATGAAAGACTTCAGTAGTTAGTTTAGTTCTACAGTGAGTTATAGAAGTTCTTTATACAGAGCTGTATCTTTCAAACTGGGTTAATAAGACCCCGAAAAAAAAATATACAGTACATATTATATACAATCTACTCAGGTCTATTGAAATAGTTATTTATAAAGTTATCATTCACATTTCTAGTCTGGCATTTGCAGACACCAAAAAATAGGTGCTAAATGCAAATATTTGGTTGCAGACTGGAGTGCTGCGTGTCTTAATGTATTGTGTGTGGAAGCGTGTGTTTGCTTGTTTATTGTGAGTAAATATGTGTAAATATGTGTATAATTCTATAATAGTGCACTGTGTGTAAAAGTGTGTGTTTGTGCCTGACCTGTCCCCAGAGCAGGCTGCTGAAGCCGAAGAACACACACCAGAGCCACTGGTCTATGGTGAGAGGGACACAGCTGAACGCCTTCCCTCCACACTGAACAATGACAATCTGAAAACACAGAGAGCACACTTAAGACAACTTTTATCTTTTATTATCTTTTTATATTAAGGTCAATGCCAATATATAAAGTACACTAAGGTTTCTGAAGGCCAAGAACTATTAGGCCAAGAACTTAGAACTGGAACACAAAGAAAACTGAATACTGTCAACTGGATTTAGAGTGAATCAGTTTTTCCAGTAGGTTCTTCAGTTCTGACAGCATATTGCAAGCATTACAGCACATGTTAGAGCTAGAACAATAGATGTTTTTCCTTTCATTCATTAATGTTTACTTTTTCAAGATAAAAAGAATATATCTGTACTATCAGTCTACAAAATGTTCAACTTTTAGTATAGTTTTAGTCGGTACCACAATGAAACAAACACTCTTTCTTTAGACAATAGAGTGTGATTTGCAACATTAAATCATAGTACTTTGTTTTCTATCCCTATGTAATCTTATATGTGTGTAATCCGTCAGTGGTCCAGGTAGGTTCCATAGTGCTCCTATGTGCTCTTATACTGGTTCTGATACAGCTCAACATCACTCAAAGACATTCAGGAAAGGTTCCGCTCTGTCCTGTCAATATGATGGTTTTAGTGCTGTATTGGTTAGTGCCTAATCACTGATCAAAACTCTGACAAAATATTTAAATATTTTAGCTAGCTTAATTTAGCTGTAGTTTTTTCCTTTATAATGACTTACAGTTTTGGTACAAATACACAAATAATATGTTTGTGAGTGTGTGGTTCACCTGCACTGCCAGTGTTCCCAGTATAATGCTGCAGAAGATGGGGTTTTTGAAGACCCCGCTAAACACATTCCTCTCTCCGTGGATCTTTCGAGCATTGAGTTCGTTAAAGATCTGCATCAGGACAAAAGTGTTGAAGACGATGGTGTAGTGGTCAGAGGGAGGCGCGTGGAGAGGAGCGTTTCTGCCACTGTCAATGTCAAACAAGTGCTCACCTGGAACAGACAGACAAGGAAGTTCTTCATATTTAAGTCAAATCATCTAAAATGTCACTGATAATTTAATAATTTAATTTTTTCCTCTGAGCATTTGCCCCTCAGAGTGCTCACTCTGAACCACGGCTCCACCCTGCTCCAGCTGCACACAGAGCAGAGAACACACACACACAGAGCAGCGCTGGGTCAGAGAGCAGAGAACAGACACACACAGAGCAGTGCTAGGTCAGAGACCGAAGAACACACACACAGAGCAGCACCCAGTCAGAGAGCAGAGGAGACACACACACACAGAGGTGCCCCGGGTCAGAGGCACAGAGCAGAGGACTGTTTACATACGGGCTTATTTCGGTGAAAATCACATTTGTACTCGCCTCATGAGACAGGGGAAAGTTTATATTCTTCTCATATTTGATTTAACAAGTTGAAGTCAAGTTTTCACCCTGATGCCGTGAGTGAAAACCCAAGGCCCCCAAGACTGTGGCAGTCCATGCATTAACACAGAGGCACGGCATGCATGCTATTGGGCAGTGTATTGTTCTCAGTCAAAGAGTGGAAGTTTCATTCTGCAGTGAGAGAAGTTTGACTGTTTGAGCCGCTGTGCACCGCGTGGCCAGTGCAAGCTGACTGTGTACAGGACTGTCTGTGTCTGAATCTCTTCTCTAACTTCTTAACAGCAATACAGTGGCTGTTTTAAGTTTGCATCACTCAGAGTCCATCTCGTGTTAAAGGTGCAGCGGGCTCGCCCCTTTCCCTCTGTGTTGCACACAGTATGAACCCGACAGATAGAATATTGTTAATAATAAGGAATGCAGCAAAATAAAACAGCATTTACAATGTGGAAGAATGAATGCAGGCCTGCATGAAACAGGACATAGGAAGTTAATTTATATTTATATTTACAAAAAAATTTAAAATAAAATAAAATACTGACCGGCGAAGAGCAGGCTGAAGATGACGGTAAGCTGGTAGACGGCGTGTCCTAAGATGTTCTTCATCATGGTGCGTGAGATGAGAGGTTTGTTTCGTCCATATGGGTTTCTGCGCAGGAGTGACTCCGTGGGCGGCTCCGTGGCCAAAGCCAGAGACGCAAAAGTGTCCATGATCAGGTTTACCCACAGCATCTGCACGGCCTTCAGGGGAGAGTCCTGACAAACAATACAGACATTTACCAGGGACACACGTAAACAGTGGCTTACACAAAAAAAGAATTATACAGGTTGCTCTTTTTCAACTAACAGCAATGTGGCTGATTTGGACAAGAAAAGCTCTGGGCATTAAAAAACACAATATTTATCTGCATCCTTGTCTCTGTCTCCTGGTGGTAAAACAGATCCATACTGCAGTGCTGTGTGTAAGAAGTCTTGTACCTGGGTTATACAGGCTCCGGTGAATGCCACGATCACAGCCACCACATTGACTGTGAGCTGAAACTGGAGGAACTTGGAGATGGAGTCATAAACGTTCCGACCCCACATCACGGCCTTCACGATGCTGCTGAAGTTATCGTCTGTCAGGATGATGTCCGACGCCTCTTTGGCCACGTCTGTGCCCGCAATGCCCTGAACACAAACACAAAGTCACACACTGGACACTGACTGAGGGAGTCCAGTCTGGTGATTGACATGTGTATCACTCTCATTTGAGTTCTACACCTTTTCAATCTGGGATGACTCTCGCTGAAAATGATTGGGACCTCCTGCACAGACATCTTTCCTGTCCACAAATGCACAAAGCCTTTCCCTCTGCACATTTTTCAATTTCAAGATAATCTCTATTAAAATGGCTGAAGTATGGACATCTCACTCTGTTTGTTTTGGTTCATTTCGGTACTTCGCCTTTGGCTTCTACCCAAACCATAATTTTGCTCCATGATTGGTCCAGTCTCTGGCCCACCAGCAGCCAGATCCTGCACCGGCAGAAGATGGATTCTTATGAGTTTGTGAACTGACAAATATCACCAGAATTCATTCATTGACCTTTTGTGATCTAAACAACAAATCAATTAATAAACTGAATTGCTAAATTATTTGATTAGCAAAATAATGGTAATGCTAATGAACTTATTATATTTACCATGGCAAAGCCCACATCTGCCTTCTTGAGAGCTGGACCATCGTTGGTTCCGTCTCCGGTCACAGCCACGACCTGCCTCTGCTCCAGGATTGTGCTGTCGATGATTCCTGATGAGAGAGTGCCATGTTAAAAAGCAAACACATTACATAACATTGGACAGAGCAGAATATCTATTCGAATCCAACCCTTTGACTGTAGATGCGTGGGACTGACAGACTGACAGTCGTCAAATCATACTGCACAGGCTCTGTCAGGGTTCAGATCCATTCTAAACTTGGTACTCCATTATTCAGCATAATTAACAAATGACTGTGATTGGATCGTTAACTGTGGTAGTATTGTATTATTGTATTGTATTGTAGTATTGCTGTGAGGAGTGAATAAAAACAAAGTAGAAGCTCACCTTTTACCAAAGTGTGTTTGTCAGTGGGAGACGAGCGAGCCAGAACTCTGAGCTTAGGCCAGATCTTGTCTATCCGCTCCTGTTCAATCTGTGGGAAGCGAAGACATGAGAATAAACAAGACATAACAAAGAAACATAAAAACATATATCATATAGTGTTAGGTGTTGTTTCACTGACGTCTCCAAGCTCGTTTCTGATTCTTCGGTTGAACTCTTTTCCTTCCAGACAGAGGAAGTCCTCTCCTGCAGTGAGGATCCCACACTTGGCGGCGATTGCCCGTGCCGTGTTGATGTTGTCTCCGGTAACCATTCTCACAGTGATGCCGGCCTGTTGGCACTTCCTGATGGCTTCAGGCACCTGCAGCAGACGAGGAGAGATTAATTCTAAGGACAGGACAAGAATTATGAGGATGTGGTCTTTGTGCACAGAAGGAGGGAAACCAGATGTTATGAAGACGACATGGTGTAAGACGGTACAAATTTGAGGTGTTCATTATGCAACTGTCTTAAGGTCTTGAATATGAATCTCAAGAGGTTAAACAAATAAAGGACTGCAATTTGGATTTTCCTTTTCTATAAACTGAACCTTACAGCAGTGCTTGATTTTTGGGATTCTGAGGAGGTTAATTAAAGACAGGGCTCCAGACTAACATTTTTCCAGGAGCACTTGCAGAGATCTAAACAACAGGTACAGCAACATTTTACT